ACATTGGTCCCACTAGTAACACACTTTAATGGCAGTTTAAAGGGAGGATGAGCAGAGACATGATTTTGCCTCTATCAAATATAACTGTTTATCCAGGGAAGGTACAAGTTTAATTTGCCAGCAGCTTATCCATTCTAAGTCAACCACTTCAAAGAGGTAGGTAAAACCAACCAAGTAGATTATTTGCTTAATGGGTAGATCAAGGCCTTGGGAAAACAATTATACATGATATACACCAGTGAAGACAATCTTTCTCTTCTGGATGTCGTGTTCTATCATTCCGTAATAAAGTAATAATTTCTTGGCAAGCTGGCAGTTGAAGTCACAACCCTTCTCAATGCCATACCAAGCAAACACAAAGGATATACACCAGATCCTCCAGATAGGGTATTTGCAGAACTTTTTATTCTCCCCCTTAAACGTATCTTATTTATATCTAGACCTTCCCAATTCCAACATACAACTCATTTTTATCTGCTTAACAGAAGAAAGAGTTTTACTATCCCAGAACAGTGAGGTTCTTAAGAGAAAAGTGCATTTATTGAAATAAAATGTGATCATTTGAATTTCAAACATTTTGCTAATGGTAACTCAGTAACTGCTTCATATTGACTCTTCTGGTTAGAAGAGTGCACAAAAAAGAAAAAAAATAAAAATTAAAAAAAAAATCTTAAGAGAATTCCTGGCACTGTGTTTGACCAGAAGGGGATGCAAAAGTTTAAGAGTCATCCAAATCTGATCAACTTTTCACCCCTGGGTTCTGTTTACAGACTCCTCAGCTCACATTGTTGGAATGAGACAAATATAGCCATCTACTTTTGCTTTGATCTGTAGTCAGTTTGGCTTTCCAATCCTGGCACAATGGTGACATTTAAGAGGCAAGGGGATAAAATTATTTTCATTCCAGCCTCTTAAACATGTGAAGACTTACAATACAACTCTGGCCAAATATGAAGTTAGACCTCAAGGGGCAATTTCGTTTTTTTTTTATAACAAGTTATTTTTCTTACAGTGCTGGCTCTTTACAGAAGTATGAAGACTTCCGTGCATCCATTCCCCCAGTTAATTTTATTTTTAAAGGTAAGAACTGATTTGAGAACAATGGGTGAGGAAGAACTGCCATAAGGTACAACAAACCAGGGTGAGATGGGTCTCCTAAGTGACCTTCTGTCAATTAAAAAAAAAAAATCACAGTAACTTTCAAAACAATTAGTCAGGCCTACGGAAAATAAAACAGACCCTTGTTCAGGTATCTATTTACTTATCACTCCACAGTAAGCTGAGTCACCCAAATTCTTGCTGCCTCACCTGTGAGCCCTGTCTTAATTTGAGAGCTGAGAATAGTTACAAGAGCTAAGGGAATTGAGGGTGAGCTTATAAATTAATCATTGAAGAGTCCCATCCATCTCGAAACAAAGGGTCTCCTTCCTCCGTACCAGCCCTTCTTCCCATTTCTACCACTCTCAAAAGAAACTAAGGGAGGAGAGGGGGAACAAAAAGGATGGGAAGGGGGATTGAGTGGCATACAGGCAAAGCCCGCAGTCTGTGAGATTGCCTAACAGACACATACCTATAGACACAAGCTTGTGTGGACTATCACCACAAGATCGGATCTACGGGTTTGTGGCAACAGGCCTCAGTATCTTCTCTCGTTTGGGGGTATGAGATGTCTGAAAATAAAACGTTAAAGCCATTAGTCCAACCAAAGATTCGGTCCTTCTAATGTTTTATGCCCCAAATTGAAAGACTTCATCCTGCACTTAGAAGGGCAAAGGTTAACAGCATCATCTATGTTCTCCCCCACATAGGTCCCTCTGTTTTCACTTATTCCATAGATACACTAGGCTCTAGGCAAATCTTAGCACGTTACTGTTTAACATTACGGAAGGCTCATTTATTTCAGACCTTGACACATGATCTGGCCAAAGTGATGTCAGATTGTAAGAGAGAGAGAGATTGAGAAACACGTGAAATCCCAAATGCAAGTTCTTTCCTTTAAATGCCTGTAATTACAGCAACAGGACGGCGAACTCTTCCTTTTCTATTTGCATTCTGGAAAACAGGTAAAATAAACTGGCGAGCACCACCAAAAGGCTTAGAAGTATTTTCTGAAAAAGTCTTCTAGAGGAGACTTCTAGCTATATTAAATTAGAAGACTCATCTTCAGGAAAAGTTCGTGGTTTTATTTCCACCTCACTCCCACGATTGGTTTAAACACCAATACCAAGCAAGTTTGGGCATGTTTTATAAAATCTGAACTAGAAAATAAATTGTATAATGGTTACCCCCAAAACTATTCAAGGATGTGAAAATGGATCTGTTTCCAAAGTCTCCTTATAAAATGATTTCATTTGTCAGCATAGCATTCTTTCTTCCAAACCAATGTTTTACATGTAAAAATGGGACATCCAAGACAATCAAGCTTCATTAATGGCTCCCTTTGTGAATTTTATTGAAGACATGGTCTTATGCATAATCACTTCTAAGACACAACGATGAAAAGCAAAATAATCACCCTCCCTAGATATTGGGAGAAAACATATGCTTCCATCTTTCACACGACCTAAAAAGAAAGTTTTTAATTTTTATTAGCAATGTCCATAGATCCTGGCTTTCAAACAAAATTCTCTCCTTTGCCTTGACATAAGAACATGAGCCTTTCTCAAGATTCTGGGAGGCTCTACTAATAACAAAAAAGACAGATCTGAATTGAGGGGTTATTTAGAGAAAAGAGCAGGCCCTTACATATGAAAGGTGAAAGCAAGAGAACACAAAACCAACCAATGGCAAGGACCAATAGGGACCATAGGGAGATGCGACCATTCACAGATACTTCATTGTCTGCCTATTTCATTACGACTGAGCCATGGGCATGACCTGGCACCCTACTCCTGCCATGAAGCTTCCCCACTGAGAATTTAGGTGCAGCTCTATGGCTTGGCTTTTAGATCCAAAGAAACAACAGTAGCAAGTAGAAATAAGTAGGATCCAGACCAATCTCCTCCCAATGGTCTTTGCTTTATTTTAAAATGCTCATTTCCTTTCTAAAATGAAAGATTTTAAATAAATTCCCAAGCCTCTTATTCTCCTTTGATCTTTCTGACAAAGTCATGGGTCCAGAGGCATTTGAGGATGGGTACTCTGAACAAGTGCTTAGGATTGCTGGAGCACGTGTAACAGGAGAGCTCTCGTTCAAATGGAAAGGAATCGGCCCAGGCTTCCAAAGTGACGAGGGTTAACTATGATCATTGTGTTTATTAAAAAGATGTAATGCAGTATTTGTTCACAATGAATGAAAGGAGATTTGTCAAAGTTATACTTAGTCACTCAATTAAGAGCCATCTTCATACATTTGCACACTCAAGCCCCACAGAAAGTAGCGCGATGCTATGTTTTAATTGGGGGCATATCTCTCTCTCTCTCTCTCTCTCTCTCTCTCTCTCTCTCCCTCTTTATTTATTTTGGTAAATATAGGACAGAGAAAAGCTATTCATTCCAAATGGTCTGTAGCATTAGCTTCCAAACAATCCACAGTTTTAATTTCAGAAAATAAAAAAAAAAAAATCCAAAGACGTCTAGATTGCAGGGGGAAAAAATAAGTCAAACCCTGACCTCATAGGAGAATGGTTTGTTTGGAGAAGATATTTTCTCCAAAATATTAGTTGACTATCTCCTTCAAGAATCTTCTCTGTGTTAAGGAGGAAAAGAAAAGTTCTTTTCAGAGGAAATTTTGGCTTGCTTTATGAAGCAAGATTCTGTGGGGCTCTGTTAGATAGTAATACTCATAATTAAGTTGGAAAATGTGGCTGAATGCTTATGAACAATGGCAAAGCAGGGTAAGGTAATTTATCAAGCAAATGCATCATTTATGTTATTAAGTATCTTTAAGTGGCACAAAGTTCTTTAATACCACTGAAGGAAACTACCTTTATCATGATAGCTGAGCTCAAATCTTAGTCACTGGACACGGATGGGGATAGCCGTATTTACTGCCAGACTGTATTACCAATCTAGGACTAAACTTGAAACGTCGATATTATTATGCAATTTATATAAGCCCTATATTCCAGGAATTCAGAGCACATGGCAGGCCTTTTAGAGACAATCCTCTAATATTTACATTTTTAAATGCAATTACCCAAGATAGCCGCAGAGCTTAAGGACAGGGCCTGATGGTTTCAGATGAGTCCTGGCTAAAACATTGTCAAAAGACATAACCACTGTTAGGTAATAACTTTAATTTATTTTTTCTGAACTCCAATAAATTGAATGCCATGACCGCTCTACTCATTAGCTAAGAATATTATGAAGCTATTTGCTAGTTTTAAAAAAATCAAGTTTAAAATGCAGTTATTCTTCATAACTAAAGCAGTCAGGCATGCCCTAAAATTTTGCAGTACTGGAGGATGTGAAAGGTTTGGAAAAGTTATAGGAAAACACTATTACCTGAAAAAAGTAACTTCTTAGGAATCCTATTTTTTAAACTCGTTGCCATCTTGCTAGGCCAACATCTTCAAACCATTAGCCTGCGTCTGGAAAATAAAATTATTTTAAGTGGATCAAGACTCTTTGTTGTTTGGTTTCTTTTTGTCACCCAATTCTTAATTAAAGCTAAATTAGAATTAACACCAGAATGAGAGTAAAAGGGAACACCAGACACTGAAATAAAAATAATTCTAGAAAATCACTGGGCTACATTATGTTTACTTCATTTCCAAAACGACACATGATATAAAGGTCCTACAAAAAAGTCACTGTCACATTTTTCCAGGAATTTCCCTGGCTATCAACAAACCCTGGGAACGATTCTACCGGGGAAATAATCAAATAGGAATGTGAGGTCTCAAAATATTCACAAGTTCCAATGTTTTATACCAAACTGCTCATTTGCTAAACATGATTAAGAGACAGGCTATCAATAATTAAGAATGGTTAAGGCACAATCAAGTTGGGCAATCATTACCTGGCACGATGTAGCATCATTGAAACATCATTTTAACTTTTTGATTCTGAAATGTTTCGGGAGTCATTATTTCTCTCTGCTGATGGGGCTGTTAAAAAGAAGTAAAATATCTTATTGTGGAGAATTCATGAGTCTATCCCCCTTCCACCACAGCAGGATTCTTGGCTTCCATTCCTACGTTCTTTCATTGGCCATGTTTTAGACGCAGGGTTTCCTTTTTCTTCATTGTTCCTTTACTAATGGAAGGCAATCTCACTGTGCAGCTGCTTGCAAAAGGGAAAATGTATTTGAGTTTTGCCTGGCTGTGGACTTGAACACCAAATCCATGGTGATGTCAGCAGAACGACACCAACAGAAAGATTTCCTGCCCTCCACCCTCCTTCTTTTTTAAAGATGTGTATGTCTTGTACAGAATCTCAGCAGACCTCCTTTGTCCTGAGGGGATAAAGCAATTCCACTGAACTTTTTAAAAAGGAAGGAACAAGAGAAGTGAAAAAAAGAAAAGAAAGACAAAGGAAGAGGGAAAGAAAGAGAGACAAAGGAAGAAGGGAAAGAAAGAAAGAAAGAGGAAAGAAAAAAGAAGAAAGAAAGAAAGAAAGAAAGAAAGAAAGAAAGAAAGAAAGAAAGAAAAAGAAAAAGACAAAGAAAGAAGGGAAAGGAAAAAAGAAAGAAAGAAAGAAAGAAAGAAAGAAAGAAAGAAAGAAAGAAAGAAAGAAAAGGAAGGAAGGGAGGGAGGAAAAGAAAAGGAGGACACAGAAAGAAAGAGAAAGAAAAAGAGAAACAGAATAAAGGGGAAGGACGGAAAGAAGAAAAGAAAAACAAAAAAGAACAACAACAACAAAAAAGACTCAAATCTACCCTTTGCCATTCATCATGAAGCAGTGGGGGGGGGGCAGCTAGTCTTTGGTCTCCCTATGGCTTTTCCGTTTTCCTGATGTCTTTTTTCTCACCCTCTGCAGCCCTTGTTTTTTGAAGGAAGATCCAATCACCTCAACAAAAGAGGCACATCCAGCGATCGCTGCTCCAAGAGTCACTGGCTGGTGCCATGGGCCCCACGCGCGTCCTCCACCTGCGGGACTGCCACCAGGACACCCGGCCCCAGAGAGGGAGCGCCTCACAGGCGGGCGGGCTTAGGTAGAAGTAAGTCTTCTCTGCCCAGGAAAAACTGACCAGAAGGGAGCGGGAGGGAGGAGACTGGCCGGGCAATGCCATCGTTTTCATGCTCCTTTTGGCCAAAGGGAAAATTTAGAAATGATATTGATCATTTTCCTATCACACCTATTCTCTTTCTCCCCCCACATTAAAAAATAATAATATTTTATGTAAAATGAAAAAATGAAGTGGTGGCTAGGTCAACTTAAGCACAAAGCCACGAAAATGGTATGAGAGAGTAAGCTGGAGTAGATGGAAAAAAAAAAAAAAGATGCCCTCAGATTGCTTTTAAATGACAGAAAAGCAGCCCACTCCTCAAACAGCCTGGAACCCACTCAGTGTTCACCCTCAACACAAATGTAACCGAGATCAACAATTTAGGAGTGAGGCACTGGAGGCAAATTTGCTTTTGACACACCCGAAGAAACAAAAGATAAAGAAGCTGCCAGTAACAAGTTGTCTCGTGTGCAGCTGGCTAAGGAGGCTACTTTCACTTTTGAAAGCACTAAGTTTGCTTAGGATGACAATTTTTCTTCCGTTTAAAAATGCAAACAATGACGCCGAGCTACAACTTTCCTTTCTAGCTAGATGGCTGAATAAAGCCAGGAGGGTTTCTGCAAAAGAATCACCATTTTACGAAATAGAGAAGACTCCGATTCTGACATGGAAACGTGAGATACAGCTTTCTTTTAAAGAAAGGATCAAGCATCTGTCATTTCTTTAATATAAATGAACTATATGCTGCTTTAATATAAATGAACTATATGCTGCGCAGGGCTTCCTGTGTGCCGGCCAACTTTAACACTTTTCTTTTCAAAGCCCTGTTTTGCTCTTGAGAGAGCAGCCCGCAATTAGATTAGGAAGCCACAAATTAAGTGGGGGTACAGAGAGGCTTGGGAAAGAAGTGACAATTAAATCACTTGGACCCTGCGAGAAAAGAGAGGGGCAATATGCAAAGAGTCAGGGTGTCCTCGGAACCTTGACCGAGGAACAATGGGATGCTTGTTCCAGGGGGGAAAGTGGAAGAGAGCCCGGAGCCCCCGCAAGGTTGTCGACAACCATCAAACACAAGAAACTAAGTTCAGCTGCAACAGAAAGATCTCCCCTTACTGCAGGGAAGAGAATTACTCAGAGGGAACAGCTGAACAGCCTACTACGTCTCAGCCTAGGAAAGGCCAGCTTCCCCCCCCACCCCACCCCCCACCCCAGCTCAGGCTCTGCACATCCACCGATTTCCACATTTCCCTCTTCCTTTGGAACAACAGACCACCAAGTAGAACACGATTTTATATCATCTTTGCCAGGTGGAGTTTGGAAAGAAAAAGTATTAATCTACATTATCTACTTCTTGCTCTCAACTTTTCCTAGGATCAATGTCTTTCTTCTCTCTTTCTCTTTCTTCTCTCTCTCTCTCTCTCTTTCTCTCTGACACGCACACACATACACATACACACACACACACACACACACACACAGTGCTGCTTGGTCCAATCTGGTGCCTGCTTAACAACAACAGAATGACAAGCAACATCTGTTTGTAAAAGAGCCAAAATCAAACCTTAACGTTTTTTTGGCCAGGTTTCTTTTTTCTACCCCCCCCCACCCCGACTCTCAAAGGGGAGGAGGCGAAAAGGAGAGATATTAAGATTTACATTCGACATCGGCTCCAGTGAAGCAGCAACTCTACTCCCCCAGTTATTTCAAAGGAAAGCAGTGTGAGGTAAAACCACTGCAGTATTTCTGGTTGTCTCCCCTGAAGCCAGCCCGATCCCATAAAATGCAACAGACCAGATTCCTAAAAGTCAGGGCCCTTTTTTTCTAATAGCTTTATATTCATATTAGAATTACAGGACCTGTGTGTGTGTGAGTGTATGTGTGTGTGTGTGGGGGGGGGGGAGGTGAGAGAGGCAAAAGGAGCAAGACAAAAAAAGAAATACATGGATAGGAAGGGAGCTCTGTGGTTTCTCCCTATTTTACAACACACGGGCGTATAACCAGGCACGTTCACACATATGCCACACGCAGGAACACACTGGAAGCAGTGAGGCTGTAGCAGAAACCTGCACAGCTGTGGCCATCAGAACCAGGCTCTATCATTCCCCCGTGGAGATGAGAATTTCTGGAAAGCTACCAACAGTCCACAAAGTCACAACGCCAAGGAGCAGAGCCACCTCAGTGAGGGAGGGGCCCTGGGATGGGGATGGGGGTGAGGGTGGGGGTGGGGAAGGAGCCAGTAAGGGAGAGAGGGGTTTGCTACCAACTGAAGCAATTTCGCCCTCCTAAGAGGAGGAATCTAGCACTGTTAGGAGCCCAACTCCTGTTTCACTCCGGGTTTGGAAGAAACCCACACACATTAAGGGAAAAATAAATTCAGACAAGTTGCTAAGGAGACTTGTGTAAACTCCAAGCGCAGACATATTTCTTGGCCTTTCCCCCTCTGCTCCATCTTGTATTCTGATCACGCTGCTCTGCAGCAACATTGCACCAACCTCCTGCATTAATCTTGGCCTTCACCGTGCAGACTGGCAAAGCATGCTGGTTGTATATATCATCATCTTTCAAACTTAACAAGTTAAAAGGGTGTGTGTGTGTGTGTGTGTGTGTGTGTGTGCATGTGTGCGCACATGCATATGTTTGTGTGTGTATGTATGCACCTAGTTGCAGGGAGAGAGTTGGGGGAACTTAATTTGGAATTTTTAAAACATAGGTGTTGAACAAAGAATACTTAGAATGCGTGTTTGGGGGGCAGTGAGCAAAGCAGCACGTAAAACACCTAGCACTGGCAATTTCTCTTTGCCTGTGCATGACATCCTTTCTCTGTGCCCTTCGCCTGCCCCTGCCCCCACCTCCTGTATTCCCGCCAGAGGTAAGCAGTGCCTGAATCATGACACAGGCCAGTGTGGGGGCCCAGGCTTATGCAGAAAACAGGGCATTCCACGAAGTGGAATCCTGTTCCCCGCGCCCCTGCTCAGGAGGGTGTCCCAGAGAGACCAGCTTCAGAAAACAAACTGAAACGATTCATAAAACCTCTAAACCAAACCTGTTTAGATTCTAAACCAGTTAGCATTTTGGAGGAAAGACTCCAGCCCAAAATCCAAGCTCCGGAGCAGAGACCTTCTCCCATAGTGACACATCTTTAGCAGCAGCTGATATATGTCAACATTTGATTTAGGGGAAAATTAACATTTCCTTTCAGGACAGAGATGTTTGTACTGTAGAAGCCAATATTTTCCTTTCTCAGCCTCCTGTATTAGAATTTCTCAAATCTTCCCTAGGACATAGAGAGGGTAGACAATATACAGCCTAAAACCATTACTTAGGGTGCTGGGACAAGCCAAAGTCAGGTCTGTGTGTATGTGTGTGTGTGTGTGTGTGTGTCCCTGCGTCACTGTCGTGAGCAGATTAGTGAGACACACACCAAGATAGCTGGAGGACGAGCATCTGTTTGGTCCCTTCCCAAATTAGAGAGGTTTACAATGTCTGCCCACCAGCCACAATAGAAAAGCTCCAATGAAGGGCAACCAACCAACCCAGCTGCTGTTTTAGCCACAATTCTCAGGGGTGGACATGGGACAAGGGATTAGCCAGGAGATGGGAAAAGCATCTGCATCCAGTGCATAGGGCTGGGTGTGTCCCTCCAGGCTCCAAGGAGGCAATGCGGCTCCCATCTCTTCTCCTTGCCAACCTTTATTTGGTCTTCACACTTCAAAGCTAAGCAAGCTGTGCTGCCTCAGTTGAAATCAGGCAGCCAGGCGACTCTTAAACTAGCAAGATGGAGATTTTGCTCCTGCCATTCGCAGAGAGAGACATAACCCAGCAACCAGCCCTGCTTGCCCATCCCTTCCAAATGACTCCATGAAACTGAAACCTGGATTTTAGGGAAGAGGGGATCATTGGAGTTCTTTATGACCTTTTCCCTACCAGGCATATCCTCTG